ATCCACACGGGTGTTCAACTGCGTGCGGAGGTAGGAGGAGCTCTCTTTGGCCCCTGATCGGTGCAAAAATCCATGAACGGATACATTCTACTTAGGATCGGTAATGTCGTGCTAAGAGGCTTCTCGTACCGGTCCCCACAGACGGTGCCAAAATGATACTACAAATACGGGTGTGTGCATATGGTATCGAATACGGGCACTTGGGCTCGGGATCCTACGACAGTGGGTCGGTGGTCTTCGGTCAAGTGGCCAGAGTCTAAGTTGGTCCAAAAGTCCCTCTCACTGCCATAAATGCAGGTATTTATAGGGGGGCAGGGGACACGGCCTGGGTCACCGGAATGGCGGGCACGTGGCCCCCATGCACCGGACAGAACACAGGTCGAGAGAGTTTGCAAAACGTGGTGTTAGTTTCCTGGCGCAAACCCACTACGGCCTTTATGATCGGTTCTAAATCGGTCGGGATGAAGTTGCCGGTCGGCTTCGGTCGGCGATGGTCGGGTTGGAAGCAGTGTGACTACACGGTACGGGACCGACCATTGCCCCGACCGTAACTTATACTACGAGGAGGGTATATTCCTATTATTAACTATCAAATGTATTTAATGAAACTGCAGCAAAGGGATCAACTATATTAGTATTCATGGGCTCTTGTTTTGAAGATTTCATAGCTGGATCAGGTACTGAAAAAAAAATCAATGGATAACGACTGAGTGTAACACCCCACTTTTCTAACTCTTAATCATAATTCTAAACCACAATTATCATGAACTAAGCAGCGGAATTAAAAGCTAAAAAGATAACTTAGTGGGAGTGTCACCGCTACAACCACCACTCCGTGGTGATTGCACAGGCTAGGGGGTAGAACTAGAAACAAAATAAATATCTAACATCCATAATAAATATAGAAAAACATAAGGGGAAAAAGGTCACCCCAATAGTCTACATCATCAAGTCTACAAATCATTAAATTCTAAAAACTGGATAACAAGGTCATCAACAAAACATAAGAGTTTAGACATCTCAAACTACGAGACTAATCTAACTCGATCACTTCTCATTGCTGGGCCGACCTGAAAGGGGTTTTGCAAGCAACACATACACAAATAGGAAAACACCCGTTAGTACGAAGCTAAGTATAACCACACTCAATCCTGTAAAGTACTATAGAGTATACTTTGAAAACCTTTGATTTCATTCTTATATAACAAACTCATCTCATAGACAGCTTTAGTCATATCACATACTTTCTATATGCTTTTTTTTTTTTTATACTTCAATATATCAACAGGCATACTTCGATATATAAGACTTAACAACTTAGATACTTCGATCATGTAAACTTCACAACAACTTAACAAGCAACTCATGCTTACAAGTGGTACCATGCTAATAAACCAAACAATAGGTATTCTCATGCTCTCAAATTCTCATCACATAAACTGGATATACAAGGCTTCAAATGTAACCAATCAATCATGCTCGATAAACATTCTTAAATCAACATTCTCATTATACAATCTCATGCAATATTCTACTCAAATGCAAACTTGTGCAATACTATAGTTATATGCAATCTCGTGCAACACTATAAACATACTCATGTGCAATCTCGTGCAAAACTATACTCATGCTCATATGCAATCTCGTGCAATGCTATAAACATACTCATATGCAATCTCGTGCAATATTATAAATATACTCATACACTCATTGTAAAAATAGAGTACTTTCTGTGGAGGTCTCTTTGAGTCATAAATGACTTGCTTTCTTTCTCTTTGGAGTCGCAATGACTCATACTTTCTCTTTGGAGTCGCAATGACTCATACTTTCTCTTTGGAGTCGCAATGACTCATACCTTCTCTTTGGAGTCGCAATGACTCATACTATCTCTTTGAATGAACGAGGTAGGAACTCCATCATAGTGTGAATGAACCTATCTGGGCATGGCTTCTAGCCGACCTAATACTCTGCTCGTCCACCAAACCACTCTATTGGTTCTATACTCATGCTCTGTGGAATCAGGTATCGAACTTTTAGTGTGCACACCCCCTGACCAGGATTCCAAGCCTGGCGGGCAGTTTCCGACCTCGTAACGTGGGAATACGCCGCGTTACATATACTGGGACCGCAATGTCCATAAAATCATCCGAGAGGACATAGTCCAAACGGGATCCTCCAAAACCTCACCGATATAGATGATACATAAATATATCTCTCATGCATGCAACAACTCTACTACTTCTCAATGCATCAAAGAATGATATGTCACATGCTTATGGCTTTTTGAAAATAATACTTGGGCTCACGTTGGCCCCTTATGCATTTTCGAAATATGACATATGTGAGATCCAAAATACTCTATAACATGCTTCTAAACCATGTATATAAACCATAAAATACTCAAAGATATAATATCATGCTCGGTTTGCAACATAGTAAATTCTATACATTTCTATTAACAAATATGCTTTCTCCTTGATCAAAGATCATATATTAGTCATGCTTGCATAATAAATCATATTCTCAAATGATCATGATTCTCTACTCAATAAAAATAACATCAGATTACAAAGCTAAGCATTTCTCATACACAGAGAACTAAGCAAATATGCATTGTGTAGTAATTTCCTCAACAAATTCATCATAACATGCTCATTTTTTATCCAAATTCAACGAAATCAAAGCTAAAACGTGCGTCGAGACGATCCCGAGGTACCGAGCCACAAAGGCCCGTGACACTTGCCCCGAAACGACACGTAGCTGAGCCACAATGGCCCGGCCACTGCACAGATTCCTCCCAGATCAATACTCAGGGGCCTGGGGCGGGACTCCTCATGAGCCGCCCCATATGCCTCGTTACAATAACGGGCCTAGGCGGCGACCCTTTTCTAAGGTCGTGCCCTAGTCCCATGCAAATCCGGCTCTAGCCGGCGGCCCTCCTGATGGGCCGCAGCTAGGGCCGCAGGTCTGGTCTGGTGCACACTGTGTGTGCACCAGATGACATTTTAATCTGCAAATTTAATCCAAACAAGTCCAAAACATTCTCAACAACTCAAAGACAAATACTAGATCACTTCCAAGCATAAACACAACAAAATCTCATAATTTCTACTCATTTCTACTCAATAACAAAGGCTTCACATAGCTAAAACTTAAGAAGGAGTCCATGGGGTTATACCTCTTGTAGCTTCTTCTTCTTGTATGGATCTCTACCTCCTCTCTACTCAAACACCACCTCCTTCACCACCTAAACATCTCAAACACAACTCAAGACTAATAAACTTCAGAGATTGAAAGCTAAGAGGAGAGGAAACCTTGAGCTAAGATGGAAAATGAATGGAGGAAATAAAGGTGGAAACCTACTGCAAATTTCTCTCTTGCTTCTATCAGACAAGGATTTGGGGAGAGGCAAGGTTGGAGATCAAAGGATCACAAATGAATAGTGTTGTTTATATAGGGTGCAAAACCCTAGGTAGAAAGCAAATGATTGGGTGAGGGCAAAATGGTAAGAATTGGCTAGAAAGTGTTCTCAAGCAAAGGCATTCTTGGAATGAAGTGGTTCACCTAGCATCATGAACCAAGGGCTAGAGTTGCTATTTTACATACTTTGGGGTTGAAAATGAATTTTCTCAAAACGTTATCTAGATGAACCCTTGTTTAAAGTCTTTTTGAATTCTCCCGGTTTCACTCAGATTGATTTCTCGATTTAAGACTTGGTACGCGAAGTACCCGAAAATTTAGAAATTTCGGATAAAATAAGTTTTGGTGTCTAATTAATTTAAAATGTAACAAAAATAGTTTATTCAAACACCAATTTATCGCAAAAATTTTTAATGGAGTGAAAATGGCTATTTTCAGAATTTCTTAAAATTGAATTTATAAAATAAAATTTTGGGTTGTTACACTAAGGCACGAGCATTGCTGAAGGATGGGCAGGCAAAGGCGTACGTTAAAGAAGGATAAGAAAGTTAAATGGTTGAAAGGATTGGACAATTATAAACTCATGAAAAATAAATTATTAAAAACAATTCTAATTATATAACATGAGGGACCAAATGTGCCACATTATGAACCATTAAAAGATTAGATTTGTTCAAATCAATTGAGGGCTTAAATTTACAAAAGTAAAAACAATTAAGGGACCAAAAGTATCGTTTTCTTGAAAGAAAATGTACAAAAGCACGTGCATTGTCAAACTTAAGAGCTGAAATTCAATAGTTCTACCAAGTTACTAGTTCATTTGAATGAAGTTTCAGGAAACACAATTAACATTTTGACAAAGGAAACATTTCTTCATAATAAGACATGAAAAGCAATAGTTTTTTTAGCCATACGCTGTTGAGCTTCTTCAATCTCAAATGATTACCACAAATAATGGCTTATTAGGAATTTAAGATGGAAATTACAAATTGAATAGGCCTCAAAGCATTAAAGTGAATCTGAGAAAGGAAAAAGAAACTATGATAAAAACAAAGAGGAACATTTGTTTCCAGGGAACACAGAATTATGGTTGGCACCTGAACTCAATATAAAATGTAACATAAAAAGGGTAAAGTTGAAATATTTCAAGATAATTTTATATTACCTAAGAAAATAGAGGTAATCACATTATCTTGAAACATTACTGCCACATCTGCTTTGGGATAATATAATATTATTAGATAATCACGTTGGAAAACAATGAATTTTCGACCACCTAAAAGTTATCAAAAATTACTTAAATTCAATCAAAAATTCTTGTTCCGACCACTTTAGAGATCTGCAAAAACATTCATCGTTAAGACCACCACATGCGGTGGTTAAAAATAGCGACCACTATTTATTGGGTGGTCGGAATTTAAGGAACCCAAAAAGACTGGCGGTTTCCTTTATTTCCGACCACCGGTGGTCAGAAACCAATAACTACTTTTTTTAATTTGTACTTTCATAAAAATTCCATACAAATTATCCACTGTTTTAGTAATTTTATAACTAGTAATTTCATAACAATACAACATCACTAAAAAAAAAATTATAGATTTCAATAGCAATTTTAATTACATATAATGTATCAATTCTAATATCCACCTCCAAAAAACTAATTTTCAATTTTAAAATGCTACTTTACAATTCAAAATACTTCCTATATTTATATTCACAAGTAACATCACAAAAAGTTAGAAACTTTGATGAGTTTGATCTATTGTGCTTGCGAAGGAGATTGTGTGCCATCATTCAATCCAAGATCATCTAGCTCAACATCACTGCTTTCATGGCTGCCGGCTCTATCACTTGATTGGAAGCACTGCGGATTTGCACTAAATACAACAACATGTGGTTCCAGCCTTTGTAAGTGCTCAATGATCCTCTGATGTTGCTCTAAGATCCTCTTGTTCTCTTTTTTTAATTGCTTAATTTGTTCTTCACAAGCTGCATGTGAAAATGATTGTCCAGAGTTTGACTTCCTTTGCCTAGTGGGGTAATAGTGTTGGGTATCTGATCCAAATCCAATAATACACGCCTTTGTTGAGACCATCGACTGTCCGACTGCCTCGTATCATGCAGTTGCGTCTCCAAGCTCAGATTGAGTTTGCTGTATTTGAGTTTCATCCTCCTATATTCATAAACATTTTTTAAAACTTATAATATATACTAGTATTTTTTATGCGCGATGCGCAAAAAATAGGTGCCCAATATTAATACATTATATTAAAATTTTAAATTTTTTTAGATTTTAGATATTTAAATTATTCTAAATAATAATAATAATAATAATAATAATAATAATAATAATAATAATAATAATAATAATAATAATAATAATGTAAATCATTTTTATAAATTTGATATTTATATTTATGTAATAATTAACATATAACTCAAATATTTAATGTGTATATATTATTATTAATGAAGAAGATAAGAAAATATATGGTGGATGCATGTGCATGGTAACAATAGTGGAAAAGATAACGAAAGTTATAACGGTAGGGGTTTGTTTGTCCAAAATATTTTAATGTACAACCTTTATAGCATAATGTAAAAAAAAAAAATTTAACGGAAAAAACATATATAAATCAGGAGTATAACTTTCATTCACACTTATTATGTTTTTAGACTAGTTTTTTACGCGCATTGCGCAATCGGGATAATGCCCAATGTTTTTTTTTAAACAAGTACTTTAAAGTATATTAAAGCAAGATTATATTGGAATTGTTCATGCATAGATAATTGAATGTTGAATTTGCGTATTTAAAAAGGTACTTCTAAGTTTACAAATGCAAGATAATATAGTCAAGATTGATTATAATTGTCAATATTGTAATTGTATTGGTATTGTTGAAACCAAATACGAGACATAAGGGGGAGCAAATAAAAATTAGGGCATAAAAATTAAATATATATTAATATTAAAGAGCTAACTGCTGATTGCCAAACAAGAACATTGCGAGATAATTTCCCACTTCAATTTGTTGTGTGATTTGAATACTCTTTTTGCCAATAAATCTCCCAAATAGTTAATAATAATCAATTTGTTGTGTGATTTGAATACTCTTTTTGCCAATAAATCCCCGAAATAACAATAATAACAATAATAACAATAATAATAATAATAATAATAATAATAGTAATAATAATAATAATAATAATAATAATAATAATAATAATAATAATAATAATAATAATAAAAAGAAGAAGAAGAAGAAGAAGAAGAAGAAGAAGAAGAAGAAGAAGGAAGAAGAAGAAGAAGAAGAAGAAGAAGAAGAAGAAGAAGAAGAAGAAGAAGAAGAAGAATAACAATAATAATAATAATAATAATAATAATAATAATAATAATAATAATAATAATCATCTAAACAGCTAATTTTTTCAAATATATTTTTACCAACTGTTAATATAATTCGCTAGTCAAATCCGCTAACGCTAACATCAAACAAGGACATTGCGAGGTAGTTCTCACTTCAATTTGTTGGTGATTTGAATACTCTCTTTGTCAACAAATCCCGTAGTTAATATAATTGACTTTATTAATTATACTTTTTTAATTTTTTCATGGTATTAATAAAATACTTGGTAAATAAATATATAACACTATTTTTTTTATAACTTTGATATTTAATTAAAAAATAGTGCACAAAAAAAAGATAATAGACAATATAGTGAATATAATCAATTGATGAATTTGAATGTAAAGCATTTTTACATTGGAGAAATATAAAGACAATATAACTAATAAAATTATTTCTCTTAATTAATTTATTGATAATGAATAAATTTTTTAATAAAGACATTGTAGGAACAATGTAGCAAATATAATCAATTGATGAATTTGAATGTAAAGAATTTTTATATTGGAGAAAATTAAGACAATATAACTAATGAAATTATTTCTCTTATTTAATTTATTGATAATGAATAATTTTTTTTGAATAAAGACATTGTAGACACATAATTCTAAATTAAAGAAATGCATATGTATTATTTTTTGTTGTAGCTACTAAATTATTATTTTAATTTAATAAGAGTAAAATATAGTACTAATTATGTCAACTTTGATTAGAATGAGGTTCGAACCTAAGAACTTTATTATTGAAATCAATGAGTAAATTAACAGTGAACTAACATAAATTAACGAAAAAGTTAACGGATAATCATATTCATTAAGGAAAAATTAAAATCTGATCAATCTAAGTCATTTATTTGATTAAAAAATTTGACTGCCATTTTTTCTACCCATTATAGGAAAAGTTGTCTTAGTTTCTTATAATTATTAGTAATTTCCTATTCCTATTAGGACTAATTTAGTATCTAGTTTAGTATATATAGAGGTCCATAGAAGTATAGAACACACATTAAGAGAGACAATCTATTGTAATCTTCATTATAATATATTCTTTCTATTATCTTTGTCTTTGATTATCATATATCTAGCTTTTGCTTAACTAGCGAGTGGTGGATATTCTCCACCCGCCAGGTCTCTCGAACCTTCAATCTTAACAATATATAAGAAAGCAAATGTACAAAAGCACGTGCATTGACAAACTTAAGAGCTGAAATTCACAATAGTTCTACCAAGTTACTAGTTCATTTAAATGAAGTTTCAGGAAACACAGTTAACATTTTGACAAAGGAAACATTTCTTCATAGTAAGACATGAAAAGCAATAGTTTTTTTTAGCCATACGCTGTTGAGCTTCTTCAATCTCAAATGATTACCACAAATAATGGCTTATTAAGAATTTAAGATGGAAATTACAAATTGAATAGGCCTCAAAGCATTAAAGTGCATCTGAGAAACTATGATCAAACACAAAGAGGAACATTTGCTTCCAGGGAACCCAGAACTATGCTTTGCAACAGACAACAGCATAATGATACTGATGGATATATTGGACCCGGAGCGAACCGACCCGGAGAGACAGACCCGAGAAGTCCCCCGGCCTAGTCAAGTGGGCCGTGGCCGAGTCGGCCCAAGGCATCTCGGCCTTGGGCCGAGTCCGGCCACGGGTGGGCTCGGTACACCCGAGCCCACCACCATGGACTCGGTACACCCGAGCCCACCACCATGGACTCGGCCACTGAAGGGCCGGTCCATGGTGGACTCGGCTAGGCCGAGCTCGGCAGCTCGGCCGTGCCGAGTCGGCCCGCCTTGGACCCGGTCCCGGGGGACCCGGTCAAAGCGGCCGATCCAACTAACCCCGATTCTAGGGGTGCGGTTGGGGAGTTTGAGCTGATATAAAAGGGCTCCCTCTTGTCCTAACAAGGGACCTGATCACTACCTGATTATTACACAACAAATTCCTAAATTGCTATCTTCTAGCATTATTGTCCTATTAAGTCTTGTAATAGCTTATTAGCGGCAATCAAAACAAATATACGGTCCCCAGCGACCTACGGTCCCTGCGACCTTATTATATCTTTGCATCCAATTATTTATCTCGTACGTATACTTATTCGGGTTTGATAATTCGGGATACCCCCGGGGAATTAAATCCATCATTGGTGCTCTTGTTGAGAGCTGCTGTACAAGCTTAAGCGCTCTCCCCATTATTGTTCATTGACAGCGATGACGAGATCGAGATCCAACTCTCGCCACACCAACGGTTCCCGCGGCACCCAGCTCGTCGCAAACGGGAACGTCCCCAACAGGGCCCCCAGCGTCCAACCGGCCGCCTCCAACAGGTCGGGAGGAGACCTGAGGGCCCAGCTCACCAACCGCCGTAGCAGTGGTGCACCACCCCCCGTGGCTCCCGCTACTACGGCTCCCGCTACCGCTCCAACTCGTGCCCTCATCCAGGAGGGGGTGGCGGTCTTCGAACAAGCCTCCACGGCACTGGCTCGTGTTGCAGCGGGCCTCCGGGCAGAGGAACACGCCGACCTAGGCGCCACCCAAGGGGGCGTGCCGCCGAGCGCCATACCGCCTCCACCTCTCTCCCGGGGGCGCAGCGGGCCGAGCGCCGTGCCACCTCCGGCACGGGCCACACAAGGAGAAGTCAACTCCCCCCGCCCGACGGACAAACGAGGAGGAGGGAGCTCCCGCCAAGACCGTCAGCACGGTGATGATGGAAGGGCCCCAACCCCAACCAGGCCCGCCCTGGAACGGTTGGGCGACCGCGTGTCGGCACGGGACAGGTTGGGTCCGAGGCCGGCGGCCAATGACCCGCCAGCGGCCGAATCGTGCTCCCGCAGGCCGCCACGACAAGCGGCGAGCACCCGGAGGTCGCCAAGTCACGGCCCCCGAGCCCGACCGCAACAGGAGGCGGGCTCGCGTAGATCCCCAGACCGTGAGACCCGAGCTCCCCCGCAACGCGGACAGCCCACCCGGGTGGAGCGAACAGGTGAGACAAATGGCCGAGTCCCGAGCTCCAACCGGGACGAGGTCGAGCAGTTACGGAGAAGGATGGACAAGCTCCAGAAGAAGTTCGATGAAAGGGACGGGTCCTCGGAGTCCCATGACATACTGTCCACCCCGTTCGCGAGTTCTATCATGGAAGAACCCTTGCCCAAGGATTTCCGTTTCCCCGCCATCAAGGCATACTCAGGGACCACGGACCCACGGGCGCACCTCACCAGGTACAGGGCCGCCATGTTGATTACCGAGGCTACCGACGCCATCCTATGCAGGGGATTCTTTGCCACTCTGGACGGGCAGGCACATGACTGGTTCGGGTCCCTGCCAGGGGGATCCATCTCCACCTTCAAGGACCTAACCAAGCAGTTCCTGTCCCACTTTGCCACCAGCATACCAAGGAAGAAGCAGGTTGCCGACCTGTGCGACCTGAAGCAGAAGAGCTCGGAGTCATTAGCCGAGTATCTCAGTAAGTGGAAGAAGGAAGTCATGGGAGTCGCCAACTTCGATGGTAAGTCGGCTATACCAATTTTCAGGAACAATGTGAGGTCGGGTGCTTTCCACCAGGATCTCATCCGGTACCCCCGAAGAACTATGTCGACCTGATGGACAGGGCGGCCAGGTATGCTGACGCCGAAGCTGCCGAGAAGAGAAAAAGGGAGCAGGAAGAAGGGAGAGGTCGGAAGGACAAGGCTCCCCAGGAGGAACGCGGCAGGGCATCTCGGCAGCATCGTCGCGACCACACCGAGGGGCCCAGGCTGAACCCCACACGTTTCCTTACCCCGCTGACGCACCCCGTGAGTGTCATCCTAGCCCACGCGGAGGACCAGGGGATCGTCGAGTTCCCGAAGGAGGAGTGCATGAAGATCTCGGCGAAGGGCGAACCCAAGAAATACTGTCGGTTCCATCGCCAAAAGGGTCATGACACGGACGAGTGCATCCTCCTGAAGAAGCAAATTGAGGAGCTCATCCAGATGGGTTACCTGGGCCACTTCATTAAACGGCCCAGCCAACCCCAATGCCAGGGCCGGGACAACGTATGAAAGAAAGGGAGTGGTGGCTCCGCGCCACCCAACTTGGCACCTCGCAAAAGAGAGCATGGCCAAAGCTCTGAAGAAGACGACAAGACGACGGAGGACTCCCAGCCCCCAAAGAAGTGGTCCATCTATGTCATTTTTGGAGGACCCGAGGGTGGCGACACCCCGGCCGAACGGAAGAAGTGGGCAAGGAGTCTGTACGTCGGGGAGGTGACACAAGCCCCACGAGAGAAGAAGCTACGAAGGGAACCCATCACCTTCACCGATGACGACCTGCCCGAGTTTCCTTGACGCATTCAGGGGGTACCACCAGATCTTTATGGAGGAAGCTGATGAGGAGAAGACAGCTTTCACCACTCCAGAAGGGGTCTACTGTTACAAGGTCATGGCCTTCGGGTTGAAGAACTCGGGTGCCACCTACACCCGGATGGTAGCCAAGGTGTTCAAACAAGTCCTCGGTCGCAACCTACAAGCTTACGTGGACGACATGATAGTGAAGAGCACCGAAGCCAACCTGCACACGGACGACCTAGTTGAGGTATTTTCAATTATGCAACGTTTCAATCTGCGTCTTAACCCCAAGAAGTACACCTTCGGGGTCCACGAGGGGAAGTTCTTGGGGTACATGGTTTCCAAGAAGGGCATAGAGCCCAACCCGGACAAGGTAAAGGCTATCCTGGACATGGAGCCCCCACGGTGTCTCCGGGAAGTCCAGCGCCTCAATGGGCGACTAGCGGCCCTCGGTCGTTTCCTCTCGAGGTCGGCCGAGAGATCTCTGCCATTCTTTGGAGTACTCAAGAAGACCAAGGGGTTCGAGTGGTCTCCGGAGTGCCAAAAGGCTTTCGAGGATCTCAAGACATATCTAATGTCGCTCCCCCCGCTAGCCAAACCCGTCAAGGGGGAGGTCTTGTACTTGTACCTCGGCATCTCCCAGGCCGCAGTCAGCTCTGTGCTGGTCCGGGACGATGACGGGGTCCAACGGCCCGTGTACTACACGAGCCGAGCTCTACGGGGAGCGGAGATCAGGTACACGCCCGTCGAGAAAGCCATATTTGCGGTAGACATCACCACAAAGAAGCTCGGCCATTATTTTCAGGCCCACCCCGTTCACGTCCTTACCAACCAACCCCTAGATGCGGTGTTGAGGGCCTCGGGGTCGGCCAGCAGGTTGGTCAAGTGGGCCATGCGGCTTAGCCAGTACGACATACAATTTCGGACCCGCCCAGCCATCAAGGGGCAGGCACTAGCCGACTTCATAGTCGAGTGCACTGCCCGGGAAGCCACCGAGCAGGCCCGAGATGAAGACGAGGAGTGGTGGACTCTGTCCACAGACGTAGCTTCGGGACCAAAAGGCTGCGGAGGGGGGGTCGTCCTCATCACACCCGAGGGGTTCAGAGCCTACTACGCCCTCCGTTTTGCCTTCAAGCTGTCCAACAACGAAGCCGAGTACGAGGCGCTCCTCGGAGGGCTCCGACTAGCACTAAACATGAGGGTCGAGAAGCTCAAGATCCGATGTGACTCCAGGCTAGTAGTGGGCCAAGTCACAGGAGAGTTCGAGGCAAGTGACGAGATGATGAGGAGGTACCGGGATGTGGTGCTCCAGCTCCTGGGCCAGCTAATAAACTATGAAGTCCTACAAGTACCCCGAGTCCAAAACACGGACGCCGACATGTTGTCCAAGCTCAGCCAGGGGGCCCCGGAGCACATCTCAAAAATTGCCCGAGTCGAAGACTTCGAGAGGTCGAGTCTGGAGTTCTACCCGGTCCTACCGGTACAGAGCCAACCCCCCTGTTGGTTGGACCACCTCAAGGAGTACAAACAGACAGGTATGCTACCTCATGATGAGGTTGATGCCAAGCTAGTGAAGTGGCATGCCCCCACATATGTCATCATGGGGGACACACTCTATAAGAGGTCGTACTACGGCGCCCTACTCCGCTGTTTGTACCCGGACGAAGCCAGGTCGGTCATGGAGGAAATCCACGAAGGAACCTGCTCCGCCCACCAGGGCGCCTTCACCATGGCCCGTCGAGCCATCTTGCAGGGGTACTTTTGGCCGAGAATGGCCAAAGAGTGTGCCGACTACGTAAGGAGTTGCGAGACATGCCAGCACTTTCAGGTCGGCCCCGGCCGGCCCGCCACGAACTACACCCCGATCAGCTCGGTCATCCCCTTCTCCAGGTGGGGGGTCGACATAGTAGGGGCCCTTCCTATGGGGTCGGGCAAAAGAAAGTACCTTATAGTGGCTGTCGATTACTTTACCAAATGGGTAGAGGCGAAGCCGCTGGCAAGCATCACAAGTGCCCGGTGCAAACAGTTTGTCTACCAAGACATTCTATGTCGATTTGGGGTCCCGATACAACTCATCACTGACAACGGGCGCCAATTCGAAGGGCAAGAGTTCGAGGCATTCTGCGCCGAGTGGCGCATCAACCATAGCCGAGTCGCCGTTTGCTATCCACAAGCCAACGGGCAAGTGGAGAACGCCAACCGCACCATAGTAAACGGTTTGAAGAAGAAACTTGAATCCGCAGGAGGAGCATGGGTGGAGGAGCTCGACGCCATCCTATGGGCCTACCGCACCACCCCTAGAAGGGCCACCGGGGAGACACCGTTTTCCTTAGCCTACGGTTTTGAAGCCCGAGCCCCCGCAGAGGCGGTCATACCTTCCCGGCGAGAAGAACAATATGACCCCGACACCAATGAGGAACACCATAGCGCCGACCTCCACATGGTAGATGATAGAAGAGAGGCAGCTTCTATCTGAGCTAAAAACTACCAGCGGCAAACCAAGTCCTACCACGACAAACGAGTGCAACCCCGTTATTTCCAGGTAGGAGACTATGTACTCCGGAGGAGAGAAGCAAGCCAACCCCAAGCCGGAGGGAAGTTCGCCGCAAACTGGGAGGGCCCCTACATTGTGGCAGCGGTGGTCCGTCCCGGCAGCTACAAACTCAAGAACCCCAAAGGGAAGGAGGTACCTAGAGTTTGGAACTTGGAGCATTTATTGAGATATTACCAGTAATCCACCACAAGCCAACTCGACCACACGGAGTTAGCGACATCTCCATTAATGTTTTGCAAATAATGTCATAGGAGGCGGCAGGCCCCCTCCGTTGCTATGAACAGAATAAAGTTATGTAATAAGAAACACCTTTTCTTGTTCACCCATCGCGAAGGGAGGAGTTTTTGTACCCGACTTCCCCAAACATACCCTAAGGGGGCACGAGGTCCGACCTCGCGTACCGACCCCGACGGAGGAGCCCCAGGGTCCAGTCCAACAAGGACTCGACTATCGTGGCTAACGTACCCTAAGGGGGCACGAGGTCCGACCTCGCGTACCAACCCCGACGGAGTAGCCCCAGGGTCTAGTCCGACAGGGACTCGACTATCGTGGCTAACATACCCTAAGGGGGCACGAGGTCCAGCCTCGCGTACCAACCCCGACGGAAGAGCCCCCGGGCCTAATGTTCAAAGAACTCGGTTCGAGCGGCTACCAAAAAAAAAAAAAAAAAATCAGACTCGGACGCGGCCGAGATCCCACTCGGCCAAGGCCGAGTTGCCAGCGACTCGGCCACGACCGAGTCCCAGCAACTCGGCCATACGACATAGCATCTAGAGTAAACTGGTGGGACCTCTGATAAGCCGGCACCACGTGGCCCATCTCCTCTCTCAGCCTGTCCACATCAACTCGGCGCCCTTCCCTCTCCTGACCCAATAGCTGGGTGAGCTCGGCGACCCGTCCCTCAAGAGTCCCAGTGCACGCCCGGAGCGCCTCATGACTTCCACAAAGGGAAGTGCAGTGGAGAACAGCCTGTCAAGCCACAAAGAAGGAAATACAAGTTAGAGATAACATGAGAATCATAAAGTCTTGTTGACACCAAAAACGGACTCACCTCTATCAGATGGTTATACATGGCCCCCTCGTCAGTGACAGCCGGACCTCTAGAAGTGACCAAGTCCTGGAGGAGCGTACGGAGGCGTGGGAGATCGCCCAGTCCTGACTGGCGTGAAGGAACGGGGGGTGCCCGCAGTGGGGCGGGGGGTGGAGGCAGTGGAGCCACCGGCCTAGTAGGACGGGGGGGGGGGGGGGGGGGGATCGCTGGCCCAGTAGAACGAAGACGCATCGAGGCCTCACCCCCCTCGGCAGCTCTCTGGCGCTTCCTCTCTCGATCCCTCTCTCGGTACCTCGCAACCCGATCACCCATCAAGGGAACGTCTCCTGCAGCCCGATCACCCATCAAGGGAATACCTCCTGCAGACCACCAGTCAGAATATAATCAAAACATAAGGGGATGTCACAAGAGCACGAAGATAGCTTAGACGGAGGAGGACCAACCTCTCGGCGTAGCCATGGTAAGCTCGAGCTCGGACTCAGGCAGGACCTCAGGAGTAGGAGTCGGCCCCGCCGAGGCCGAGCCGAGGGACTCGTCCCGATCTCGTGGTAAAAACTCGAAGACCATGTCATCCGAGTTCTCATCTCCGGAGGGCGAGTCCACAGCAATGGGCACGGGCTCATCTGCAGGGGGACCCGGCAAGGGGGGAGGAAGCGGGGCACCCCGGGCAAAGCCTAAACCCGCCAGGCTCTCCTCGGTCACCATCGGGGTGATGTAGATGATGGGACCACCCCGTCGGAAGATACGGACGTCTTCTAGCAAGGCGGCTCCTTTCCTAGGGGTAACATGCTTCCGGAACCGGGGACTCCAAGGTGACACGAAAGGAAAGTCGGGGCCCACGGAGACATACACAAACTTGGGTTTCCAGTTGTGGTTGGAAGAGTTGAGATCTTGGAAGGTTTTCAAGCGGGCACGGGCCGAAAAGGACACCCACCCCTTGCTAGAACGACCCGTGGAGTTGGTGGCTTGGAAAAGATAATTGAAAAGGTCGAGGTAGGGTATGACCCGCACCTCTCTACATCTAAGGAGAAAGGCCAAGAGGACACAATGCGAGTTAGGGACTAGTTGTCCCGGGGCAATCTCGTAGTAATTGAGGAGGGACACGACAAAGGGATGGAGTGGGAAACGCAACCCGTATGAAAGAGAAGCGACGTGCACCCCAAAGAAGCCGGCTCGAGGCGGGACGGTCACATTATCATCCGGCGAGGGAGCCAACACCTCGACACCCGGACCCACTAGTTGAATGGCCTTCTCGTGTTGAGACGATGAGAGGCGGGCCAAGGTGGTAGCAGGGACGTGCGGGTCGAGGTCGGTATACCCGACCTCGACCTCAAGAGGGCCCGTAGCGGTCGAGTCCTCCCCAAGGGACTCGGACCCCTCGGGGAGATGTGGGAGCTCGTCCTCTAGTGGAATCGAGCCGTTCGGAGAGTGAGGGGAGTTGGGGTCGCTCATATCGATTTCACTCTCGTCTATGGAGTCTAGAACCCCGAGATCAAAGCTAATAGACATGCAAAGGTGGCAAGGAGGGGCAACACGGCTGCACCGAGTTAACTCGATCGAGCTTTCGGCCGGGTCAGCCGAGTCGAGGGCCGAGTCGGCCGAGTCGACAGCCGAGTCGAAAAACGGCCGGGTCATCCGAGTCGAGGGCCGAGTCGGCCGAGTCAACAGCCGAGTAAAAAAAAAATGTGCGAAAGGCGGGATTCGATACCACGAAGAAAGAAGGGGAGAAGAAACAACTAACCGAACTCGGGACGAAACTTGGAGACCCGGAGAAGAGCTTGTGACCCTAGGAGGAGCTTGAGAGATTTTTGGGTGTTGTGGGAGTGGTATGGCCGAAAAAGAGGAGAGAAAAGGGGGTTTTTATAGGGGATGGATGGTGGAAAAGATGGGGAAGAGGAAGGGTTGACCAAAAATTCAAAATTTGAGAAAGTGCATTAGGAAAGGAAAAGATGATGGGGATGGGAAGTAGATTTGATGGGAATAAAAAGGGGGGATTCTCAAGATTTTCTAGGGAAGGAGTTGCATTTCGAGTGAGATTCTACTATATCTGAGGAGGATTTTTCTGAGGAAAATTCTATCCGCAACAAGAATTTTACCTGGACGAGGTTGGCCAATTTTCAACTCGGGACAAGTGCACAGGAGCCGGCTCGCAAGGTATCTACTCCCTATCGTTGTCGACTTATCACAACGAAGAGAGTGGGGGACTCGTGATGGATATATTGGACCCGGAGCGAACCGACCCGGAGAGACGGACCCGAGAAGTCCCCCGGCCCAGTCAAGTGGGCCGTGGCCGAGTCGGCCCAAGGCATCTCGGCCTTGGGCCGAGTCCGGCCACGGGTGGGCTCGGTACACCCGAGCCCACCACCATGGACTCGGCCACTGAAGGGCCGGTCCATGGTGGACTCGGCTAGGCCGAGCTCGGCAGCTCGGCCGTGCCGAGTCGGCCCGCCTTGGACCCGGTCCCGGGGGACCCGGTCAAAGCGGCCGATCCAACTAACCCCGATTCTAGGGGTGCGGTTGGGGAGTTTGAGCTGATATAAAAGGACTCCCTCTTGTCCTAACAAGGGACCTGATCACTACCTGATTATTACACAACAGATTCCTAAATTGCTATCTTCTAGCATTATTGTCCTATTAAGTCTTGTAATAGCTTATTAGCGGCAATCAAAACAAATATACGGTCCCCAGCGACCTACGGTCCCTGCGACCTTATTATATCTTTGCGTCCAATTATTTATCTCGTACGTATACTTATTCGGGTTTGATAATTCGGGATACCCCCGGGGAATTAAATCCATCAGATACACTTGCTATTACGATATCCTTGTCAATTTTGAGTGAAATCACCAAACAATTAGAATTGAATGGCATCAAGAATTGACCTATACATACCTGTGCACCATACAGCATATCTCTCCATATTGTAGCATTATTTGGATCATAGATTCTGTTTACACATTCCAATTTAAAATGCCTTCCCTATAATACCCAAAAGTAAATTAGCAAAGAACAAAATCCTTTAACTAAAACACATAAGAAACAATTGGCAGAAAGTGTTCAAACCTCCAAGAGAATACTGTTATACTCTGGGGGCAAATCATAAACAAGGATGGGTGGCCTTCTCTTCTCCACCACAACTTCAATATTAACAGGATTCCCTGTGGCATTCACATTATCTGGAATGTTTACTTTGGGTGGTCGAGGACAGAACAGAGGGAGCATTGCAATCTGCCCCAAACCAACCAGTGTGACACTGCAGATAAGCAGGTAGGTATTTCGTCAATTGCTAAAAAGTAAGAGTGTTGTACTCAAAAACAGAAGAAGTTGTGCTATGCCAGGATTCCTAGGAAGAACTTGGATGTTTGCATTTAAAGGGTCAAATGGTAAAATTAACAAATCAATACGATAAGTTTTCAAAGTTATACTTAATTAGCCTTGCAAATCAATATCAATCTAATAGAGACAACAAAATAACCAAGCAATTCTTCTTACCTCTACATCTCCAATACTTGAGACTAGCAGCTTTCTAGCTTGAAATTTATTCAATTAGCATATACCAATCTGCAAAAGCATAGTTGTACTTGGGATTAATTGCAAAGAAGAAAAGAAACAGAGATGTAAAATAGTATATTAATCATCCCATATAGGCACCAGATGATATATGAATTTACTTTCTTGGCAGCTTGCCCCAGTCACCAACATTAGATCTTGAGCCCATGTTTCAGTACCATCTCTTACCAACTTCTGGATACTCTGCAGTAGTAATTATAATGATGCCGTAGTAAGTTTATTGCATTCATGAGGAATCATTAACTTTTAACCAAAGAAAGTAATTACATGAGCTATTTATCTCCTCGACAACACTACAGTGACAAAACCAGGTTAAGGAAAATTGAAGGATCTGTGAAAAATAATGCAGAAAACAAAATGAGATCAGAAAAGTAAAATAGTATTTGATTTTGTAAGCAAGAATCTTAGCCTTCAGAATTCTGCGTTAACTACTTCCCATACTTTTTATCTTTGAATTAATAGAATATAACTAGTAGTTCAATAGTTGTGAAGTTAAAATAAAAAGTAACAGCAGTCTAATATTCTTTCTGTTAAAAAAAAATTCATTCTTCTGCACTTTCTGCAACCTCTTTGAAGAATACAATTTTTGCAGGTTCTGCAAGCAATTTCAAGAATAAGATGAATCTTAGTCTAGAGCACTCAGTAGCTTAAAATAAAATGGTAAAGAAAATCACCTGAAGACTGACTACAGGATTTGAAAACCTTCTCTTTGAAACCAGGATCGCTATAAAATCTTTGATTTAATGCCTTTCAGAATGCCTGGAATGGATGTAATCAATCTCATGAAGAAGTTTTACGATTATAATCAGCCTTGCAAATCAATAGCAAGTACTAAGAGGCAGAACTGTTGAACAATATATATATATATATATATATATATATATATATATATATATATACATATATATACACATGTGTGTGTGTGTAGTCTCACTATGAATTTAAAGTTTTAGTTGAAACGAAATACATCCTTCAATTAGAAGGAAATAATGAAGCAATTCTTCTTTCCTCTAGATCTTTAATACTTGATCACTAGCAGCTTCCCAGATTGAAAAATTTTGAAAACGGTATTTAATTGACATACCAATCTGCAAAAGCACATTAGTAGTCAGGAATAATTGCAAGAGGTAGAGAAAAGAAACAGAGATGTATAGTATGATCATCACATATATGCACCAGATGAAATAGCAGAGACAGAACAAATAACCAAGAAATTCCGTTCACATCTCCGATAGCTTGAGCACTACCAGCTTCCCAGTTTGAAATTTTTCTACAAGCTAAGATAGGTGCAGATTTAAAGTGGTTGTTGATCTTAATTGTCAAGTAATCAATCAGCTTAGAAACATCACTACTTCAAGTTCATAAGCATTTCCCATCTTCTACTAAGACAAGAACAAAGAACAAAGCCCACATGGCTAGCTTTGGGATACGCATTCTCATCAGATGGAAACCAACCAGTGAGTGCCTGCAAGCAAGAAGACTTTGGAAGAACCATTTACTCTACTTTCACTTCACTATGTCTATATCTATAACTTTGCAAGAATGATATTAAGGTATCACACAAAACTCCTTGCTTTCTCAAAACTGATATCTTTGATTTCTAAAAGAACACGAGCATATATGAACCTCTAGGCAACTTTTAATTTTCTTTTTGATTTTGTTCTATCAAAAATTCAGATATTTGATTTTTATTGTGTATCATATTTTGAACAGGTGTAGCGCACAAGCTCTTCCCAGCCATGTTCTACAAGTGCACATTCATCTGCACAAAAAAGGAAAATGTAGTACCCACCGCTACAAGTGCCTTCAAGTGCACTCCAAGTTGCAATAAACCTTTTAAAATTCTCCTCACTACCCTGTTTACAAGGTAAAGAGTGCAAAACACATCATCGTCATCATAAAAATAGATTTCTTAGTCATCAAAGAGGTGTGAGTTTTGAGAGCTTCTCCATTATTTATTTCATACTTTGAGTTGTTGCCGTGTTGGCAAATTGAAAGTTTCATTCATTTGAGTAATACAATATAAGTAGTAGTTAATGTGGTTCAATAGTTATTAAGTGAACATACAAAGCAACATTAGTCTAATATAATTCTTGTTGGGGAATAGGCCTGTTTCTTCTGAAGGGTCTGCAAACACTTTGAAGAATACTAGTTTTGCAAGTTCTACAAGCTATTTCTAGAATGTGATGCATCTATAGTCTAGAGAATTCAACTGCTTAAAACAAAATGGTTAAAATCTCACCTGAAGAATTACTACAGGATCTAAAGCCCTTCGCTTGAAACAAGGATCACAGTTAAACAAAATGAGATCAAAAAAAGAAATAGAAACAAGTTTGTAAAGGATATATGGAATAGAAAAAGAAATAATTGAGAATGGATCATATGGTGTAGCTTCTAACCTCAAAAATGGTATTTCCCCTTTCAACTTGCCAGTCTCGAATATGCTTCGCAAAAGCAACCACAGAAGTGTTACACTGATCCAACTTAATTGACAATAGGGTCAAATTTTCTGTTAAACACAGAGGGAACTCTTCCAAACAATAACATCTCAAGGCTAATCACTTGAGAAATCACCATCACCTGCCCAATGCTTGAGTTTATTAGCTTCAAGAACGAAGAATCTTAGTCTACAGAATTCTCCTTGAGTTGGACTCACCCAAGATACTGTTTGCAAATTCCACTTTTCCCTTCTTGGAGAGTTGGAGGATTTACCGTATATAAATTGTAATGGCTCCCAAATTCTGAAAGGCAATGGTATGCATTAAATACTTGAAGCAAATGGGTAGTACACATGAAGACAGTCGTATGCATTAAATACTCGAAGCAAAACCTATTTCATACTTGAAGCAAAACCTATTTCAATCAGTAGCATATAGTAAATCATTCACTCTGCTTTATCTTCATTATTTCTATTATCTATAACTTTGCAGATATGATATTACAGTATCACAAAAAACTCACTTTTTTTTCAAAAGCGATATCTTTGATTTCTAAAAGAACACTAACAATATATATGTCCTCTACTCAAATTTTATTTTACTTTTTGATGTTCTATGAAAAGTCAGGCAATTGATTTTATTGAATATCATATTGCTAGTCGCTAGACAAGCTCTTCCCTTGTGCCTCAAATGCAAATTCATCTTAACAAGAAAAAACAATGCATTACCTTAGCCTCCATGTACTCCAAGTTGAAGAACATCAGTCCAATATAATTTCTCTGTTATAGAACTTTGCATTCTCTGATCTGTTGGGGAAAGGCATAACTGTTCTGCAACTTCTTTAAAGAATATGATTTTTCTGCAAGCAATTTCAAGAATACAATGCATTTGTCATCTAGAGCATTTGGCATCATAAAATAAAATGGTAAAAACAATTACTTGAAGACTGACTACAAGATTTGAAAGCCTTCTCTTTGACACCAGGATCACTGTAAAATCATGGATTTGATGCCTTATAGAATGCATGAAATGAATGTAATCAATATCATGAAGTGTTAAGAATTATACTTAGCCTTGCAAATCAATATCAATTACAAGTTTTAAGCCCACTCAAATGACTCAATCTCAACTTCTCCAATAGGAAATGAAACATAGACATAGACCAATTTTAAGGGTTACAGTGCAGCAAATAGAAATTAAAATAATTAGCTTCTCAAGCCCTTCCAAATAGTCAAGACAATTCACAAGGCAATTGTGATCAATGATAGCACTTGGAATTTTCTGCTATGTAACAAGGGGAGAAGAGCACCAAACAAGAAATCTATGTTACAAATTGAAGATCAATTGATGACATAATGAGGAACAAAATTCGTGTTGATGACATCATGAGGAACAAATTCATTTGTAACCTTCAATTATCTGAATAAGGTAGCAATACCATTTCATGTCATTTCATTTGGCATGGAGATGTAAATGCCATAATATGGTGATATGTAGGTAATTTTAATAATAAGGCATTCAAACTATTATAACTTAATTAAATACACCTTGAACTCCTCAATCATGAGATTTACTTCAAAAATATTCCATTATGCTTCAGTCAAGAAATCATAAAACTCATATAGAGATTCATATTTTGGGTGCTTCTTGTTAATGTACTCGTGCACTATTCTGGTTTTAAAAACCTTCCACCGCTGCCCAACAACCTTTAATATTGTTTCTCTCAATTGATCATGTATGTTGAACACTTTCTAGCTGCACACAAGAAAAAAACTCACACAATCAATAGTCAATAATTATTTTTAAACTAATAAGGTAAAAATCAATATGTAGAAGTATTGTAGACCTTAACATAATCCCAAATTGTATCCTTCAATCCTTTGTCAACTTCATGTCAATCACTGATATTAATATCCAAATGCAACCGAACCGAAGTGTCAATGCAAGACTTGAAGTTCTTCATAAACTGGCCGACTAGTCTATGATACTCATCAAACTCAACACTTATTACTTCATATACCTTCTTTTTCAATCTCTTGCAGGTTGTGGGACTTCTCGTCTTAGTGATGTAGGATAATGGAAAGAAGAAGAACACAAACAATATAATTCAAACTCAAGGGCTTTCAATAATATTCAAAACTTGAACTTCTGAATACAAAAACTTATTTAAATAGAAAACTAAGATAGAACAGTTGCAAATATTAAAAGCATGCATGGGAAAGGTAAAATTAACATAAAGAGAATTACAATTTACAAATATTAAATATATTTAAAGCTAATCGAAATTTCCAATAAAACTAGCCACCAAACTCCATGTCTCTTAGACTTCATGCATTTGACCATCATTGCCTCAATTCATGTACTGCATCACTTAGGCTATGATTTGATGAGGATACGATATATCTGAATGAATAATAATGAGTCTGTACAGGAGTATATATAGTAGTGAATAGTAAACCTATTACAAGACAAATACTAATAATAATAGGTAACGAATACTAATTACTAATAATAATAGGTAACGAATACTAATGATGATAGAGTCCTAATACTCCCCCTCAAGCACAAGGTGGACTAGCAACAACATTGAGCTTGCCACATAGAGTAGAGAAACGCGGACCAGGGAGAGCTTTAGTGAACACATCAGCGAGCTGATCCTTTGTGAAAATGAAGCTAACCTGCAACTCCTTCTTCGCCACTTTGTCACGAACAAAGTGGTAATCAATTTCCACATGCTTCGTACGAGCATGGAACACCGGGTTGGAACAGAGATAAGTCGCACCCAAATTATCACACCAGAGAGTGGGAGGAGCAGCCAATGACACTCCAAGCTCGTGCAACAGAGAAACCAACGAGGTGACCTCCGCAGACACATCAGCCAGAGCCTTGTATTCAGCCTCTGTAGACGAACGAGCAACCGTGCGTTGCTTCCGACAAGACCAGGAAATCAGATTGCCACCAAGAAAAACCGCAAAACCACTAGTAGACTTCCTATCAGCTGGATCACCAGCCCAGTCCGAATCCGAAAAGGCATGAACCGCAACAGAGGAGGAAGGACGAATAAAAAGACCAAAGTGCAGAGTTCCTTTTACATACCGCAGAACACGTTTGAGCATAGCCCAATGCTCAGTGGTTGGAGAGTGCATATGCTGACAGACCCGATTCACGGCAAAAGAGAGATCCGAACGAGTAACAGTAAGATACTGTAGAGCCCCAGCAAGACTGCGATACTGCGTGGGATCCGCATAGGGAACCACAGAATCAGAAGAAGGTCGGGACACAGGAACCGGAGTAGCCAACGGTTTACAGTCCACCATACCTGCACGGCTCAAAATATCTCGCATGTATCGCTGCTGAGAAAGAAACAAACCACCATCCTTGGAGACCGTCTCAATGCCAAGAAAAAAAGACGGAGCACCCATGCCACGAATCTTAAACTCCGAGGCTAAGTCAGTAAGAAGCCGAGTAACACACGAAGCATCAGACCCCATAACAAGGATATCATCAACATAGACAAGCAAATATAAACAAATAGAGGCACGAGTATAGATGAATAAAGAAACATCAGTCTTGGAGGGTGAAAAACCAACCGACACCAAGAAAGCATGCAACCTATTGAACCACGCTCGAGGAGCCTGCTTAAGACCATAGAGTGACCTCTGTAACAAACACACATCATCCGGCCGTGACTGGTCTTCATAACCGGGCGGCTGTCTCATGTAAACTGTCTCTGCAAGATTACCATTGAGGAAGGCGTTGTGAACATCCAACTGCCGAATGACCCAACCGCGAGAAACGGCTAAAGAGAGAAGAAGCCGCACGGTGGTGGGTTTGACAACAGGACTGAAAGTCTCAAAAAAGTCTTGCCCAGCGACTTGATTGAAACCCTTTGCGACCAATCGAGCCTTGTGCTGCTCAATCGTGCCATCGGCCTTGCGCTTCGTTCTGAACACCCATTTGCACCCCACAACATTCATGCCAGGTGTACGACTAACCAGACGCCAAGTGTGATTCTGGAGCAAGGCATTAAACTCAAGATCCATGGCCTCACGCCACTCCGGATACCGAACTGCCTGAGAATAACAAGTCGGTTCAGGAACAGTCATAAGAGCCACATGCTGCGTCGGTCCTTGAGAACGGGTTGCCATGACATGAGACCGAGGCTGAACAGGCTTCGCCGTACGGCGGCCTCGCTTGGGCGCAGTAGGAGCACCCGAGACCGCCCCTTTCGGAGCCGTAGCAGTCACGGTGCGAGAATCTGAACCAGCTGCGGCAGCCCCGGAATCCGCGTCCAACTCCGGATGAGGATCAGGTCCAGTGGGACAAACATCGGAGCCAACACCAACCCGAACGGCACCAACACCCACGGCTCAACCGGGCGAGAGCTAGAGACCTGAGAAGGCATAGAAGAAGCAAACGGATATACGGTCTCATCAAACCGTACATGACGACAAATGAATACCTTGTTAGTAGCAGGATCTAAACAACGATAGCCACGAAACGAAGACGGATAACCAAGAAACACACACGGGAATGACCGATACTGCAACTTGTTACGATTGTACGGGCGCAACAGAGGATAACAGAGACAGCCAAACACACGCAAGAAGGAATAAGAAGGATTAGAATGATGCAAACGATAATGAGGACTGACATTGTCTAGAACTCGAGTAGGCATTTTATTGATGAGATAGACTGCAGTCTCAAAGGCATAATCCCAATATCGCTGTGGAACCGAAGCCTGAGCCAAGAGAGCCAGACCCGTTTCCACAACGTGACGATGCCGACGCTCAACTCTACCATTCTGCTCATGGGTATAGGCACAAGATTGCCTATGATTGATACCCAAAGAGACAAAAGTACGGTGCAACCGTTTATACTCTCCCCCTAAATCAGATTGTATAGAGACAATCTTACGACCATATGAACGCTCAACTAGTGACCGAAACTGCTCGAAGATAGCATACACATCAGTTTTTAATCGCATAGGATAAAACCATACATTGCGTGTGTAGTCATCAACAAACAAAACAAAATAACGAAAACCATTGACAGAAAGAAAAGGCGCTGGGCCCCAAATATCAGTATAAATAAGCTCTAAAACATGCGACGTAGTAGTATTGACACGAGGCAAGGGAAACCGAGATGATTTCCCAAGCATACAAGCACGACACGACACCGAACTATTACTAAAACTAGAATCAATGGAACACGAATTCAAAATCTGCCGCAAGACACGAGGATGAGGGTGACCCAACCGACCATGCCAAACGTTAGAGGAGACACGCGAAGCCACTAACGCAGCGGGACTCGAATGAGAAACAGGCCAAGAATAGAGACCCCCCGAAGTAGGGATGTCAATCGGGCCAGCCCACTCGGTTTCGGATTAGCCCTGTCGGGTTGTCGGGCTAATCGGTTCGGGCTAATCGATTTATTAATATTTTATTCTCGGGTTCGGTTTGGCCCTAACCCTAAACTTCGGGTTGTCGGGCTAATCGGGCGGGTTGAACCATCGAAAAAAAAAATTAGAAACTAAAAGTGAGTATTCATATTTAGAGTACGGATGACAACGGGGCGGGGCGGGAAGTATACTCCCCATCTCCGTCCTCAACGGGAAATTGAAAATAGTCCCTATCTACGTTCCCGCGGAGAATTTGACGGGGACGAAAAATCTCGTCCTCATCAATTTTTAGTTAAAATATTTTATTAATGTTGTTTTAAATTTTAAAAAATTAAAAACTTAAGTTTTAATTTAAATTATATATATATATATATATATATATATATATATATATATATATATATATATATATGTATTTATTTTTAATTATAATAATTATTCCATGTATGTTAGGTTTCACATCACTTCTATAATATAGAATAGTTTTCAATAGTTCGGGTTGTCGGGCTAGCCCTATCGGGCCACGGGCTAATCGGTTTCGGGCTCGTCGGGCTAATGTGTTTTATCGGGCTAGCCCGTTCGGACCATAGCCCTGTCGGTTTCGTTTTTTATCGGGTTGGCCCATCGGGTTCGGGCTAAATTGACATCCCTACCCCGAAGCCTGCCTTCTATACAAAACTTCCCTGGTTGAACGATCCTTCACAAAGAAACAATCAGGGTGAAATTCAAAGAATACATTATTATCACGGGCAAACCGTTGCACAGATAATAAAGACGCAGAAAGCCCAGGAACAAAAAGAACATCAGACAACCGAAACAGTGTTTTAGAAGAGGCTACCGAAGACGAACTAGTACCAACAATAGGTAAACACTTACCGTCACCAACACGAAGATGATCCGGACCGTTATAAGAGACCGTCGAGGACATCAAAGACGGATCTGGGGTGGCATGGTTCGACGCACCAGTGTCGGGAAACCATTGCTGAGTGCTAACCGAAGCCGCATCATCCACAGGATATGCAACATGCGCTCTCGGCCCCGGAGCTCCATCGTACCAGCGAAAGCACGAAGCGGCCGAATGGCCCTCGCCGGAGCAGATCTGGCACTGGACAGCCCCGGCACCGCCACGACCACGGCCACGCCCTTTGCCGCGACCACGGTCGCGGTTGCCGCCTCCACGCTGCTGCCCGCCCGAACGGCCTCCACCTCGCTGAGCCGCCATGGCGACCGGAGCAGCAGCAACATTACCAGCATCATCGGCACATATTAAAGCCTGCGAAACAAGAAAATCGGATAGCTCGGGCAGAGACACCGGAGCACCCCTTGTGTGCGACGCCACCAAAGGACGATATTCGGACCGCAAGCCTCGGAATATATACATATTCTGATCCTCTAGCGTCACCGGACGGCCGGCAAGCGCTAAATCCTCGATAAGCACCTGCGCACGGCCAAGATAGTCCGGGATCGAAGCATCCCCCTGCCGTAATCCTTGCAACTCGCCCACCAACCGGAGGGCACGAGCCCGTGTAGTCGAACCAAGAACCTGTTCGATTGCCAACCACAAATGCCGAGAAGTGGACTTACCGATTGCGAGGTGCATCATCTCGTCGGACAAGGATGAGATTAATAAGGAGAGCACGGCCTTATCTTGACGGAGCCATGCACTCCGAGCAGCGGAAGACGAAGCTGACGAAGGCACGGCAGGAACAGTTCCCTCGGCAGGCGGCACGGCAAGCGCGGTGATCGGCGGACATACCGAAGTACCATCGACAAAACCCAACAACCCTTGGCCATCCAAGAACGGAAGAAGCTGAGTACGCCAAAACAAAAAATTGTGGGAT